TCAAAGAGTAACAAGCTTCAATTGAACATGGCTAAGTGCAAAGTGATGCATCTGCGTCACCAGCTGGTGAGCGCCTACAAGATTGGAGACCACACCTTGGCAAAGGTTTCTCATGAGCGGGACCTGGGTGTATTGGTGCAGCAAGATCTCGGGTGTTCAAAACAAGCAGAGAAGGCGACGAGAACCGGAAATCAACACTTCGGCCTTCTTCGCAGAGCCTTCGGTCGGTTTGAACCATCAATATTTCCCCAAATGCTTAACGCCTACGTGCGCCCGCATGTGGAATATGCTATTCAGGCGTGGCAGCCGTGGCAGAAACAGGATCTCATTGCTCTCGAGACTCCTCAACAACGGGCAACCAAGAACGTCAGGGGCCTCTTTCATCTGCCCTATCAGCTTAGACTGAAATCTCTAAGAATGTACAGCAGTCGATATCGGCTTTTGCGGGGGGATCTCATAATGGTTTACCAGATCCTGAAGAACCCAAACCACATTTGCCGTCCGCTGCTGGAATTGAACCCCAACATTAAACTAAGAGGTCACCCTCTGAAACTGACAATTCATTACAGCCGGCTTGAATGCCGTAGAAATTTCTTTTCTCTCCGCGTGTGTGACCCTTGGAATGCCCTCCCTAATTATATCGTCTCTGCTCCCAATCTGGCGATATTTAAAAAACGTGTTGACGATGCGTTGTCTCACTTACATTTCCTTTTATGACTTGTTAGCCAGGGGCTACAAAACGCAATCAAACGGTTTCTTGCCAAACGCCTAACCAATGGATTTATGGATTTATACGTTTGATATGCGAACATCTCCGCTATTTCACATAAGTCTATGATGAGTCCACCACAACGCTTTTCACTTTATTATGCAATTAGTTTTCGCAATAATTTCCATCCCACAGGACTTGTTAAGCGATGCTTTTTTACCCGTAATAAACCATTGTCCATTGTCCATTGATCGCCGCAGCCGAGAGCGGATTAAACCGCTTCGACATACACACTGTTTGACACGGTAGATGGTGCATTCATTGTGGAAATCAAACTGTTGATGCAGTAGCCTACCCTTAACATTCAACACATCCTTTATGCTCTCGAATTAGTTCCAAAAGCTTTGGGGAAAATCCGTCTACTCTTAGCTAGCTCTTTTCAATAGGGCAGTACAGCTCGAGGCAAAAACCGGTCCTCCTTAACAATGAATTTGAAATTAGCTTCCAAGGAGGTGGTCACTGGGGGCATCGCGATAGTTAAAGCAATTTAGTCTGCATAATAAATTAAGTAATGCGGTAAGCAGACAAAAACTGGCAGATGCTGCAAAGCCATTTTGTCTTGTCAGTTACAAAATGGTATACGGAAAACATTTATGTGGATTTCAATTTATTATCTACAGCAACCCGAGGCTGACGTACAATTATTTATTCACAGATAAGCTACACTCAGCTACATACGACGGCTTCAGCAGTGACGCAAAAAGGACTCAACCTTGTGTCTCTTCTACATGCCGACCCTGAGCTTGGATCCAACCGGTGACAACTTGTCAGTATATACCTGCCTGTCTACGTGATATGTGTTTTGTGGGCAATGTGGATAAAAAAATGAAGGGGCGGGTAAATTTCTAGCTAGATCCACTCTAGTATATGTTCCATTAGTCTGCAGTTTGTTACTCTGTCGGTTCTGCTTAAGTAGCCTAATCCTCAAACACAATTAAATTGGTAAATTTGCTATAGACTGACATCCACCGGTAGCCTTACATGTTTACAGATATTTTGCTACTCACGAGACAGCACGAAATGCTGGAATCTACCAGATTTCACCACTAACCGTCGCTTTATTGTTCAACGAATAGCTTTGATGTTAGATGTTTTCGGTTGGTCATTTCATATCTCTGACAAAGTGGTTTACTTTGGTAGTATCTGAACGAATTTAGCTACGAATAGTCTCGCCAAAGCTAACTTGTTCTATTAGGTCCTAACAGTTCGTACAACTGTTGGCTTGTAACAAAATTAGTAACCACAAAGCAACGCTTTATTTCACCACTGCGATTTCATACTATGGTTCACCAGATACATGAGTTGGAATTAGCTACTTCTCGTACTTACATCTTAAGTTGGTGTCAGGAACAAGCGCGATTGGCTGACATGGTGTCAGAGAAGATAGCAGGAGTACGACAGATTGCAATGTTCTAACCATAAAAAAGAATTAGGAATGTGGTGGTGATGGATACAGGGGATCAAGACAACCAGACGTCGTCTCAGCAACCATCCGTAAGTTGGAATGTAAGTAAGATTCTGACACTTTAGTCCGCCTGTCAGATGAAGGTGAGAACCAACATGCTGGCATGTTGCGGAAGAGGTTCGGGCTGTTTGATCTTTTAGTCTGTTCGCATTTGCTTAACATATACAAGCGGTCTCATGTGGAATACGCAATACAAACCTGACAGTCCTGGCACAAGCAAGATTTTGCAGCACTCGAGACTCCACAGCGAAGATCCAGGAAGCACGTCAAAGGATTGTTCTAGATACCGTATCAACCCATGCTGAAAGCTCTCCGATTGTACGGCAGTCGGTATCGGTGCCTGCGTGGCGACCTAATAATGGCCGATGTATTCCGCCACCTACTGCAATTAAGTCACAACACGAACTTTAGAGGTCAACAACTCCAGTTGGTCATGCAGTACATTCAGCTAGAATATGAGCGAAACTTGCACTCTCTTCGTGTGTGCCAGCCATGGAATGCCCTTCCAAGTTACATTGGCTCCGTCTTCAATGTACTTATGTTAAAACTCTTTGGCGATATAATGTGACCCTCGCCGCACAACCTGCTTACCTACACAGTCGAGTTTGGCTCTTTCCTGCATGCCTCTGTGTTAACACTGTGACGGGTCCACCAACTCGCTTTTCATGTTCGCACTTTGTTTTCTTTTTACCGTGTTGTGGTTCTCCTTGTGGTTATCCTACATGACTTGTAAAGCCATTGTATTTTTATCCGTTCTACAACACTGTTTCTTTGTTTGATCGGTACAGTTGATCAATGCATATACTACAGTGTCGACCTAGAGCACCACCAAGAATGAAAACCGGTTGTGAATCAGGCCAGTGGAGAAGCAACGCGTTGCACTGTAACTTAGCACAACATCTTGTTTGTGAAAATGTAAGGTTCCGTGAAAAGGTAGTAGTTGTTCTGTCTTTGTATAATCTTTCAGCATTGCGATAATCATGAGGAGACCTATTTTGATGGTAACTATTACTTGTGATACCGGTTGTTTTACGGATGACCGATGGCTCACCACTTTGAAACTGGCGATTGTGGAAAGCAAAGTAAGTGAGTCCCTCCATATTGTTACGACTGGATGGTCGGCTGGCATTTTATTATCTTCTACTTTTCATTAGCATGTTGAGTGTGACGATGGAGATGGAGTCCTGGAAACAGCTTTATTTGACAGCTATCACCACAGATTGTGCGTGGTGTCAAATGACAGGTATGCGACAATCATGTGGACCGGGGACATTTTCAATCCCTGAGAAATGCACTCATCAAAGGTGGTGAGTCTCAGTACCTGAGTCTCAGGAACAGGAGTGACCAGAGACCGCCGACATTTGTAAGAAATTGCTCCATGCGTGATCCGATCACTAGCATGAAACTGAAGCGGTATACCAGGCTTTGGCTGGGTCGTACAATGGAACAATGGAACAATGGTATATGGCGGGTAAAAAAGCATACACTTAACGAGTCCCGCAGGTTGGCAATAGAAATACTAACAGATTGGCAAACCACATAAGTGGTTGAAGTAAGCAGTGCCAGTGAGATAAAAGGTAGAAGTATAACAGTTGTAGGGGGATAAAGTGGTACGACGCAAAACTGGCTAAGAAATTGTTATCGTTGGTGATGGTAGCAAATAAAAATGGAGTACTCGCCGGTTCGCACAGATTTACGACCGTGAATTTGGGGTATAAATCCAAAGAGGCTGGTCAGGCTAAATATATACAAGCGTTTTCGTTCATAAAACAAAGCGCAGGGCGCTCAGTGCGACGTCCAATCGTATTTTAAACGTATCTAATGTGGGGGCACAAACAACTGAGTTTGGAAGGGCGTTCCAGGGCCCGCAGACCCGGAGGGAGAAATAGGTTTTCCGACAGTCTAGACGACTGTACTGTAGGCTCAGCTTTAAACTGTTACCGTGAAGGTTAGTGTTCGGGCTGAGCTTCAAGAGGTGGCGGCATACGTGACTGGGATCGCTCAATATCTGGTACACTAGTATGAGGTCTCCACGAAGTCGCCGGTACCGTCCGCTGAACACTCCGAGTATCTCTAGTCGTTCCTGGTAAGGAGTATGGCGCAAGCCCTTGACGATTTTCGTTGCTCGACGCTGTGGGGTCTCAAGCGCTACAAGGTCACGTTTTAGCCAGGGTTGCCAGGCCTGGATTGCATATTCGACGTGAGGACGCACGTAGGCATTCAGCATCAAAGAGAAGATGGATGGATCCAAAATTCCGAATGCTCTTCGCAGGAGTCCAACGTGTTTGTTGCCCCTTTTAGAAGCGGAATCTGACTGTTTGGAACACCCGAGGTCTTCCTGTACCAGCACACCCAAGTCGCGTTCCTGAGTGGTGGTCTTCAGATCGTGTGCCCCAAGCTTGTAGACGTGGACTTGTCGATGGCGGATATGAACAACGCGACATTTGGCTGGGTCGTAGTCGTCCTACACGATGGACTAGACACATGAATTGAACTGGAGGCGAGGAACGAGTACAGAGATCGTCTTACTGGTTGCAAATGAATTGGCAATGCACTCACTGGTCGACATCACATGTGCATCACCAAGAGACACGATATCAAAAGTGGGGCTTTTGGCGACGATTTACCACAAAACACGTATTGTAAGGACTAAATAAATACATGAGTATACTTCTTGATAAGCGGGGTACGTATTAATTCAAGGGACGATATATCCGGGTCTAGTCTTCCTTCACTAGTGTACATCAGATTTTCACAAAATGATTTTCATACCATTTCTGGTGACAGGAATCGGTATGGATCCAATTCTGGTGGGTTGAACTCGCCTTGCAGGAAACGAGCCAGATACAAGGGTCGTGCCATTCGCTCCAGAGCCTCACGAGACGCGCGGCCATCATGGACTAATTGTGGCAATGCGGAGAACACATTGGGCACGTTGGAGACGGAATTTTCCAAGTTCACTCCGGCGTCTATGGCTGCCAATGCGGCTTCCGAGTTGTTCCGAAATGCATGGTGCTTGAAGATGGCAAATTGCAAGGCTCCACAATCAGTGACTACGAAACCTGGGGACAGACGCGATAACTAATAAGGGTAGATGACAGAAATAGTCGAGTGCATTGTACAGAGGGAGGTGACATTTAAAATGTGTCCGCATATTATTGTGAGCATGGGAAATATGTCGGAAGCCTATGGGCATAAGGGCCTGGAGCTTGCCCCAGCTTGATTATGTCTAGCAATCTAAAATAAGATGAAAACATAGTTTGCTCATGGGTTAGGGGAGTATGCGGTTCGCTTCTTTGAATGCTGCTCAGGTTTGTTAGAGTCACACACATACTCCCTGGCTTATGCTGTGGCCTTCGGAGCTGGGCGTATGGTACTCGGCACCGGATCACATCTTTCATAGCTAACCATCTATTCGTGCCTTATTTTTAGCCTTATGTAGTAGTAAGCTTTTAATAAACATGGTTCTAGTTTAATTATGTGTATTCTTCTGCACACTTTTGACCAGCCGTTTCATCTGAATACCTGATAACCGAATCATTCGACAAGTTCCTATGTAGCATTTAAAAATACCTAACTTACAGTTTCACAGGTTTCACAAATTCACATTGTCCTTTCTAGTATGTAATCATTCTCTGAATCGAATGGGGCTGAAACATAAATCCAGTAACGTTTTGAACTGTTGTGCAGATTTAGCCTCCACGACTTCTGGCAGACTGTTCTATAGATTTACCACTCTCCGTTCGGAGCATAGCGGGTAGGGTAATCGTTTTATTTCCAACATCAAAAGGTTCTACCGGTGTCCGCGTGTGTTGCATGGCGTTCGCAAATAAAGCAGCGGCCTGAACATGGGGAAGTCACCGAGATGTAATATACACTAGGTAATGATGAGATCGAACCGCACCCGACGATAGGACAAGGTGTAGAGTCCAAGTTTCGCGCATCGGTCATCGTATGATAATTCCCGTAAACACGAAATGAGCCTGGTAGTGACGTGTTGGATCCGTTCGATCTTCTGTGCCTCGCCTCGCATGATTGGGCAGTAGACAGGCAAGCCGTACTCCAGTATTGATCATATGATGGCAGAGAAGACGCGAATGACGACCTCTTCGGGCTAAGTGCAGAAGCTGCGTTTTATCGTTCAAAACATGCGCAGTCCGTTACGATGTAGTTTGTTCGTTTTGTCGACAGACTTAAACTCACAGAGCGACAGTACGCCTAGGTTCTTCACGGTAGGTGTGGGATATAACCGTTGGTTGTCAGTGGTGTACTTGCGGTCATCCTCACCATTCCCCAGGCTTCCAAATACCGACTGGGATGGGTTTGCTTGGAGATTAACTTCTGAAGACTGTCTGGATAGGCGCTTGTCTTGCTGAAGTACACCACAGTTGTCGGGAGGGTCAATTGGGATCAAAAGCTTCATGTCTTCTGCAAACAAGGCACACGGGGACCGACGAAGCTGAGGTAGGTCATTGATGTGGATTAGGAACATAGAGGGCCCCAACACTGTGCCATGGGTACTCCACTAGTAGAGGGCTGCCAGTCAGTTAGATGGCCGTCGACCTGTACCCTCCACTTTCGTCTAACGAGAAACTCCTGGATCCACTGGTACAGTGATCCACCAACATCGCACATTCTCAGCTTGTGGAGGAGGATATCATGGTTTATCTTATCGCACGCTTTACTGAAATCGATGTAAATTACGTCAACTGACTTCCTCTGATTTACTGCCTGCGACCATTCAGGCATCGTCACCAGCAAGTTGGTAATGCATAAGCGACCTAGCATAAAACCGTGCTGTGCGGTTGTCTGTAGAGCATTTTAAATGGAACAGCTGTAGTAGACTCTTCTTCACGAGCTTCCGGTAACCTTGACCAAAATAGATGTCAGACAAATCGGCCTGTAGTTGTCCAATTTCCTGAGGTCCCCTAGCCTTTTGGAATCGGCTTAACAACTGAACATTTCTATTCATTCGGCAATGAACTTGCGGATTTTTGACCTGTTAAGCAAGTCAGTCACAGCAGGTGCAATGACGGCCGATAGGAGCTTGAGAATCATTGGGTGGAATCCGCCAGGGCCAAAAGGTTTGGTCCCATCAAGGTGGATGAGTACTTGAGGCACCTCTTCAACACCGCAAACCAAATTGTCAAGTGCGGTAAGCGCGGCACACATCTAACTCGGTACAGGCACCTGGTCATTTGCAAACACAGAAACAAAGTGTCCCGCTAACGCTGACGCACACTCAATATTGGAGGTTAGGTGCTGTCCATCCGAGCCCTCTGGTACTAGTAGATCACCTGCTGGCTTGAGGTGTTGCTTTACGTGAATAACTATTCTATTCGGTGCTGTTGTTGCGGCGATTGCGAGCTGCTGTTGGAAATGCGGGCGCTTGCTCGTTTTTTCACGCTTGCAAATATTTTGCTGTCTTCTGTACGCCTTGTAATCATGGGGAGAGCCGGAAAAGAGGAATTTGTCCCACAATTTGTAACACCGCAGAGCCATTGTACCATACTGCTTGTCGCTATGGAACCTGATCGCCTAAATTCTGAGGAGTAGGTTAATACTATTAGTCTCCCTATTCCGTCTTACCGCATGACTCTTCCTAAGACCTGGTTCGCACAACATGAATCTCAGTTCCTATTATGTCGTAGTAAGTCTGAAAGAATTAAGTTCCACTATGCACTAACTGAGTATCCTCCACCTGTTGTAGACGACCATGATGGCATTCTAGAACTGCCTTACGAGCAGAAACGTATGAAGTGATTAAAGCTGAGGTTCTGAAAAGAACAGGCTTATCTAATTGACAATGAGTTAAAAAAGCTCTTGAACGAAACCAAGTTCACGTGATCTGAAGACATCTCAGCTATTAGGGAAGATTCAGCGCCTAGCAAAGCCCACAACGGTAGACAACGTTTTCCTACCGGAAATGTAGTTGAAATGATTACCCCGCGAAATGTACAACGTGCACTTTGTTAATGGTGAGTTGTCACTGCCTCAATTGGCTGACACTGCCGGTCGTATCTAAGAATCTTACGACCTAATTTCACAAGTGCAATCGACCTATAGTACTGTGTAGACGGAACTCAGGGCGCCGATGGGCGCGCTTAACCAAAGACTAGAGGAAATTTCAGTCTCGATAACTAAAGGTCGAGCTCGTTTGTGATCCTCTATGAAGTCCTTTGACAAAATGGGTAGCGAATCGAATCGGCGGATAGCAACCATTAGAGCTGGAAAGCCTCTAACGGTAGTAGCGCCGAAGAATTCCACAGCTGTCCGTAGGCTTTGTTCTGTTGTGTTTGAATTAGGCACTGAATGTTCATTCGGGACAACACCCAACAGAGCAGATGCGACATAGTCTTGAGGAGCTACGACGATTTGTATGCCATTAGAGTACAATGCCATTTAGTAAATATCACTTCAGCTGTCCTCAAAATTCCTACGCAATCGGTCGTCGGCTGCAGGTCAGGCGAAATCGTTTTCAGTATGTGGAATAATGGAATATTGGTATGTATGTATAGTATGTATGATTTAGGTGAAACAGATGAGTTTAGAGGAACAGAATGTCCCACCAAGGTAAACCGAGCAACTGTGGATTCACCATGAGGTTTACACACTATATACGTAAGTGCGCTTGCCATGATCGAGCCATCTCAGGTATCTCAGCAAAAGTATACAGTCCAGTGCATACATGCTCGCAACACCTCCGTGTCCGCAACTCTGTCGCACCAAGGATTCCGCAGAATCCGTCGCAGACAATGTTGACGTGTAGTGTATGGATTGGACGCCGATACCGAAGCCGCCATTATATGGTCAGCTGAGTGTTGGGAAGCGGCATGTGGGGAAACTGAAGCATCGTCACCAGGACATGAGAAAAATGAGTCTCTCACGTTCTAATCTTGGTTGCAGATCATTGGAATCGAAAGCGGTTGATCGGCGTACATATATATATATATATATATATATATATATATAT